ATTTAATTTAATAGTGCCCCAGCCCCCCCCCCTAATATCCCTAAGCATATCCTGTCCCTTGAAACTCTATGGGCTTGTTTACACACTGCTCATCCATTGACAACTGATAATGCAGTGCCATGGACAAGCTGATTCCATTGATAAGCATTGTGTCTGAAGTGATAACGAAAGTTGGAATGTTTAATATGCAATGGCTCCTTTACACATATGAGTCACCAAGTGGTGCCCCCAACCATCACATCTCCGACATACATGAGTGTTCCAGTTCTACTTGTCTGTGAAGGTTTGGGGCATGGTACATATTGGCTCAAATTGTGCCATAGCGAGTGAAGCATTTGTGTGTTGCCTTTACCTGGCAAGAATCCTTCATCCCCTCCATGTATCCTGCGCACATCATATCATCCTTAATTTGCGGGCTTGTTCCTGGAAGGTAGCTGTAAAGGCTCTCACATGTGGCGGTATCTACAAGAGGAAGCAGCACTTCTTGTAGAAGTTCAGGAGGTGGAAGGGCGACTGAGAGAAATAGAGAGATGGGGGGGGTGTCAATAAATTATTATCTTATTCCAGTCTCCCAACTCCAAGTAGCCTAATTTGCAAGCTATGCCAACTCTGCAACATAAACTGATTTATTGTAGCATTGTCTGCTGGCTGGTCTTTTATGCTGCATTATTTGCAATCCAATTCTTTTTTTCTAAGCCACTCTGACCTACCAGAAGGTCTCATGGGGACCGTCAGCAAAATGACATACATTTTTCTTAGGATGTCCAAAGATTACTGTAAAGGTGAGAACAGTTCCACCTTTGCAGCCATCCTTAGCCAAGCTAAAAACAACCTGACCGATTCCCAACAAGCAGCTGTGCTGCCCTCGCCCTTTCATTTGCCCCAGTTGCACTGGTCAATTTCACATTATTCACTGTGCAGCCACATTTTGACCCACATCTCCCCCCAATTTCCCCCATGTCTTCTCGATCCTTGCTTTTTGAGATCAAGAAGACATGGGGGAAATCAGAGGGAGATGTGAATCAAAATGCAGCCGCACAGCAAATAGTGTGAAATTGTCCAATGCAATCAGGGAGCGAGGGTGGCACATCTGCCTGTGGGGAATTGGTCCCTGTTTCTTTCTTTCCAGAAATTATTAATTCTGTATGAGCATATCTGCAAGGACAGTCCTAGCATTCACCACCAAGGGCTGCAGTACTACATGAATTCACACAGGTAGGAAAATCTTATTCCCTCCCCCTACTTGCCTTTCTTTTTCTCTGTATTCAGGGAAGGGAAAATCCTGTTCCCTCTATCAACCAGCCTTCCTTCTATTCCCACTTCTTCCCTTTCACTATGCTCCTTCTTCACTCTATCAGCCACCCTCCTATTTTCCTTTCTCCTCATCCTCTATCCCAACTGCTGACTCCCCCATTCACCTTCTCTCATTAATGGACACCATTTTGGATTGCTCTGACAACCCCAAATGACACTTGAAGTGGCTTTTTCCCCTTCAACTTCTACAAGTTTGGAGGTTTTTTATCTCCGAATCTTTTTTAACTTTTCATTTTTTTCTGCAAATGATTTATAGAAACTTCTCCTACATCCTCATATAGCGCTACTGTATGTATTTCTTTTCATATGGAGGGGAATAAAAGATTGCTTGGGATGAAGACATGGTATGAAGGAATCACCTTGGGATCAAAACATGCATAACATGTGTGGTGAAACAACATTATCTATTCCATGATTAATCTCTAAAATCTCTAAAATAACTTGTTCTACAAGTTTGACACAAAAGTCAACTGTGCACAGCAATGATTGGCCCCCATGACATCATCAAAAATTTTGTCACAGTTTGAGGAAATTCCCAAATGCTCAAAATCTTTACACTTATTATAATGTGTAGATTATATTATAGGTATGGTACTGCTATTGGCTTATGATGTCATTCTTTCTTTATGGATACTGCATTATGTTTGAGTAGTTGTAAGACTAATGTATACTTTGTTACACTGTTTATAGTTTCTGTTATTGTTTTATGCTGTATGTGCTAATTAAATAATAGAAGGGGGGAATCAAGAATCTGTATCCATTGATGGAGAACTTCTGCACTTTTAACAGGTTCCTTTAAAAAAAACCCAAATAAGGTGACAAATAGCTAAACAGATATTTATATGGTGTTTATCCCCTCCCCCCAAAGTAAGGAGGAACTGCCTGCCTGAAGCCCAACAAGTGGAGCAAAGCTGACAGCTGTGCTAGATATTGATTTACAATTGTGAACATCTGTAATTCCAGTTGCAAAACCATCATGACCCTGAGCTTGCCGAGCACCTGAAGATTTTGGGATGAACGCCACCTGTACATTTTGCTTCTTTAAAATCTTGAGATGCAATTCGGGACTCTTAGCTAAGCCCCAGAAAATCAGAGGAATCCTCCGATTTATTCTCTTACCATTTTGCTTGATGCTCCCCCAACCTGCAACCCAGCACCCCATCCTGGGAGGGAAGACAATGGAGCGTCCTGGAATACAGGCAGGCTGGATGCGATCAGTGAATCTGACGGGGCGTTCCAGTTCCAGAAGGGCAATGTCATTGCCAGTCCTATGATCTGAGTAGTTGGAGTGGATAATGATGGTCTTCACAGGGACTAACACTGATCCAGGGTGAGGGTTTAGGAGTCTGTAAGCACCCAGCAGGACGGCATACAGAGAGGGATCCGTGAGACCACTAGATAGAAACATTGAGTGATAAGGAATGGAAGGATGCACTCAAAGCTCTTGGACAAATCTCAACTAGGTGGCATAGGCATACTAGGCTGGAAAAAAGGAGTGTTAGCCAAATTGCCTTGAATTCCGTGGGGCAGGGTCACCCCACCCACTAGGTGCATCTAGGTGATTTCTTAGGGCGCCAAAGCCGGAGGGGCACTAACCAGCCTTGTCAAACCCACCCATCCCACCTGTGGCATTGGGGTCTGCTACAGCAAATGACAGCCCCATGAGGCACCTCATCCCCAGTGAATGGTTAGGGAGGAGCATGCTCCTTCCCTCCTTTGGAGGGTGGGGGGCAAGGTAGGGAGGTGTGGCCCTCCTCATCCTCTGCCATCCACTCTATCTGGCCATCTTTCTTTCTCTGAGGGGTTTAGAAATAGAAGATGGGGAATATGTGCTCTGAACCGGCAGAACCACGTGGACTCTAGCTGCAGACTAGAGTTTAAAGATGGAGGTAGGGTATATGGATAGCAAGCTGGGCATAAGAGGGTTAAAGCTTCAATAGGGGTCGTGGAGAGGGAGAGAGAGCATGTGCTTGGGAAGCATCTTTTATAACGTGGTGTGGGGGGCAGGCTAGGCTGGCCACATCCCCTATGACACCTTCTGTTAGTCCATCCCATAAAACATCCTATTGGTTGGCTGGAAGAGGGGAGGGGGACTAAGGAGTGGTCAATGTTGAGATCTAGAAACTTAGGCTGGGAACTGGCACCTGGATGAAGAGTGATTGAATCATCAGTCTAGGGCTATTGTCTCTTGATGGCCCTAGCCGGCTTGCTGGTGGGTGAGCGATTAGTTGCTAAGCAACCATGAATAGAGTCTTTTGATTAGATTTGTAGGTGGCTGGAAGAGGGGGGAAAGAGGTTGCCTACATGTCCTGGAAGAAACTCCTTATGGCGTCTGGAGTTCTCTGTCCTCATGTTTTTCCATGGCATGGCATCTGAGGCTTTGTGCAGGCTTATGGAACTGCCTCATCTCACAGCAGGCAAGATGGCTGGTGACTCTGGACCTTCACTGTAGCAGCAACACTAAAGGAAGGTGTCCCTCTTTCAGATGTGCAGTCTCAGCAGGTATTCCCAGGTCTCCATGTTATACAGTCCCTTTGCACAGTCCATACAGTTCATAAAAACACATTGATAGGCTTGCATGGCAACAAGAGCACCTAGAAAACTTTGGTGGGGCAGGGTCACCCCACCCACTAGGTGTAGTTAGGTGGTTTCTTAGGATGCCAGAGCCGGAGGGGCACCAACCAGCCTTGTTAAACCCACCCATTCCACCTGTGGCATTGGGGTCTGACAAAGCATGAGGCACCTCATCCCCAGTGAGTGGCTGGTGAGGAGCATGCCTCCTTCCATCCTTTGGAGGGTGGGGGGCAAGGGTGCTGAGTAGGGAGGTGTGGCCCTCCTCATCCTCTGCCATCCACTCTATCTGGCCATTGTTCTTTCTCTGCAAAGCCACCATGCAGAGAACTGATGTGGTTTGAGGGGTGAGCAGCAGCCACTTTCTGTGCCTCACACCTCACCATGTGCCTCACCGCCTCAGGTCCATGCCTCACCTTGCCGCTAATGCCTTTTGCCTTGACCGGGGGTGAGGGGGAAGAAGGCTGGGCAGTGACTTCCTCAAAGCACACCTTCCTCGCCACTGGGGAGGAGACGACAAGGAGGGTAGACATCAGCTGTTTGCCATGCCTCACTGTGGCGTGGGAGAGGAGAGCAAACAGCGGGGTGAGAGTGAGCAGTGGGAGGGGAGGGGATTAGGCAAGGCAGTGATCACCACCTTGGGTGCTCAAAATCCTTGAGCTGGGAATGAAGGAGCCTTGTTGGATGATAACATTGTTTCTCCCTGTTTCTCCTTATAACAGCCTTGTAAGGAGGGTTAGGCTGAGAGACTGGCCAGATTGGGGTCCCCCTAAGCTTTGTGGCTGAGCCAGGACTTGACGCTAGCACTCTATGGTCTGATGATCAGGGGCGACGGTAGGTGAGAGCTCCTGTGAGGGGGATGATTATTCTGCATTAGCAGGACAGCATAAGGGAAAGATGAATTTGGGGGAAGTGAATTTTATTGAAAAGGAGACAGGTGGAGGTTGAGGGGAGGATGAGAACCAGAAGACTCCAGGAAGGAGCGTAGCACCTAATGGCTGGTGAATATGGCAGTTGACTGCTGGGTTCTCAGTGACAGCACAGGGGAAACTCATAGCCAAGCTCTAAGTCTTTTTTGAGGGGTAATAAAATCTCATAAATTGCTACTGAAAAGTAGGAGCCAGGACTCCTGGGTTCCGCAGGAAGGAGAGTGCCTGCCAACTCACCTGTCAAAGCAATGTGCAGCCGTGAGGACCCAGCTTGAGGAAATGAGGGTCCCCCCACAAACATGCGAGTCTATGAGCTGCAGGCTTGCCATCCATGGCCAGGTACCTGTCTCTGCCTCTGAACCTCCCACAATTCGAGTGGAGGGGGCCAGTTGGCCACAAGCTGGAGAAGAGAGCCAGATGGACAGGTCAACAAGCTGGAAATGGGATCCACACCTAATGAGTGGGGAAATCAGGACTGAATTTAGGATGGGGAGGTCTCTGCAGTGGAGCTGGGCAAGCAGGCAACATAGACAATGGTGGTGGAATGAGCCATCAAGGTGCAGCTGACTTATGGCAACCTCATAGGTTTTTCAAGGCAGGAGGCTTCAGAGGTGCTTTGCCAATGCCTGCCTCTGTGTGGCAACCCTGAACTTCCTCGGCGGTCTCCCATTCGAGTATGAATCAGGTCTGACCCTGCTTAGGACTAGAGCTGCCTTGTGGTTGCACCACCATTTGCCCCTACACTATTGGTCAATTTCACACCCGAAGCTGCGGGGCTGCATTTTGACTTGTGGCTTCGCCCGATTTCCCCCACAGTTTTGTGATCCTGTTTTTTGAGGATCACGAAACTGCGGAGGAAATCGGGCGAAGCCGCGGGTCAAATGCAGCTCCGCCGCTTCGGGTGTGAAATTGACCAATAGTGTCGGGGCAAACGGCGGTGCAACCACGAGGCAGCTCTAGTGCGAAATCAGCCATAATCTTAGGAGGTGGGCTAGCCTGGGATATCCAGGTAAGGACAAGTACTAAACCAAATGGCATTGTAGAAGATGTTCTTTACCTGGTTCCAGCTGGGCCTCTGCAACACCTGCAAAAATAAGGACAGAAGGATCAGGACAAACAAGAATCTCTTCCTGATAAAGATAGCACTGGGTGACCAGATGCAAATGAGGCAACGGCTCTTGGAGTTTTAAAAGTTGTGTGAATAGAAATACTGGGAAATGCAGGTTCTTTTGACCCAACACTGCTTAGGGTAGGAGAGGGAGCTGCCCCAATGAAATGGGAGAATAGCCGATGTTCCTCGTTTCGCTTCTTTCCTTGTTTTGCTTCTTTTTAATATTCATTTTTAT